TGTACCAAATGCGCAGGTAAAGGGTTAAAAATCGATTAAGCTGTACTACGCTCACTATCGTAACTAACGCATTTACATATTGGCAAACCGATGGGAAAAAAAGGAAAAACAAGTTTTCACCTCACTAGATCAGAAAAGCTTTCTATCTCATCAGAAATCTGCGCTAGCGTGGAGAAGGTTTTTGAAATCCGAACTTGACGATGGACTGTGATGCACCTAACTTTTGCTTTAAATGAAAAAAAAAACATAATGACACATTCAACTACGCGATTTGTCGTACATTATTTATGTAACATAAATCCGTTGCTATATTTTATTACTGACATTAAATTGACAACGATAACTAATTTTGTTTAGTAAAATTGATTTGTTCAACTGTTCAACTGTTTTTCTTTCATCTACCACTTTCCTCGCTATAGTGAGGTGAAAAGTTGCGAGTTTCGCTCGGCAGCAAAGTTGTTTTGCGTCTCGTGCCTTGAAATCCTCGCTACGCTGAGGATTCTGTTTTTGAACCACTTGTTTCAATACAAGCACTCGCATCTAACAACAACTTTGCAGCGTAACAATTAACTGTTATTGCACACGTATAATGCAATAAATACGAAAAAAATTACACAAACTAAGCTTAAATGCTTTAAAGGTAATTAACAGTCTCTTGACTTGGAATTCACACAAAGAAAAAATATTTCACGTCATTCTCGTAAAGTCATTGTTCAATTTAAAAGATCTTCAAAAGAAAAAAACTAAGTTGAAATGAATGCAAATTCAGTTACTTTATTATATATTCCACAGAATCCTCAAACAAACTTCATGATACCCTTGGACCCTCGCAACAAGACACCCATCAAGCAGCAAGAGTATCTTCCACCTCAACCAGACCAGGAATACGGTGTTCCAGCTACACGTGACATAGACCTGTCAGTCCAGGGCCTTCCACAACAAGAACAGGTACCAATCTTCCAACTATCCCCAATAAATGGGCAACAGTATGTTGGACAGGATTTCAATCAGGATCTTAGGAGTTTGGACCAGAATTTGAGACAATCGCAGGTGAGGCAAGCGTTCTTTCTTCTCTCTCCACCTACAGTCAGCTTCGTCCCGTTTCTTGTGTCTTTTAACGAAGCATATAGACGAGTTTTTGGCCATGGCATCAGTGCCAAATCGGGAATAAAAATTAATCTGATAAAAGACATCTTTTAAAACCATTAACTGCAATTTATATGTTGCAGATGAAAGGGGCACAAGCGTTTAGATGTAAACCTGCAAAGTAATACTTAGGAAAATATTGCAATATCTAGTTAATTTTCATTACAATCTGATGTGTGTTAGTGAAGTTAAGATAAATTGTTCCTCTTTACAGGTACAAAATCAACAAGAAATCTACCGTCAGCTCGCAAGACAAAGACAATTTGAAGCAGCACAATCTAATAACAACCTGAACGGCGTACCAGTTTTACAATCACCAAGACAATTCGCGAGAACCACTCCTAAACCTCAAACCACGTTCACAACTACGAAAACTGAAGAGAGAGCTACTACTGAAGTCACTACAGAACTTAATCTTAACGAAGGCGAAACACTAGATGACAATACGCCAAAAAAAGTTACAGTTGAAGTCACTAAACAAAATATTCAAGAATTCCATCCGGAATTGTATCTCAGTCCTCTAGCGCAAATAAGGCTACAGCCTCAATTAGTGCCCATTCAGTTTGGACAGCTCAGAGCATATCCCGAACAAATATCCCAGAAGCAAGTCGCAGGTTATGATGCTCAAACACATTTCGCGGCTTTGTCTTCAGTTTTAGCTCAACAACAATTGACACAACAACAATTAGCTCAACAGCAAGTTCAAAATCAACCTCAAACTATTCCTGTGCAACCTCAAACATTGCCACTACAGCCACAATATGTCCCACAACTTCAACGGCAAAATCCTTATTTGGTTCCGCAACAAGGTGTTCTTCCGCAAACCTACCAACCAAATCAATACGATCAACCACAAATGACCCCTCAGTTCCAAATGCAACCAGTATTTGTTCAGCAACCGACCCAGTCGGAGCAAAACGATGACAAAGAGCAAATTCAACCTCAATTTGTGTATCAATACCAACAGCCTGAATATCAACAACCTCTGTATACTTCTCCTCAATATCCTCAACAATTAATATTGCCCAACCAGTATTACCAACAGCAAGTGCAACAGAACCAAGGTCAGGACAATCTGCAAAGTGGATTAGATGTGAAAAAGAATGTTGATGACGTTGACCAACCTGAGGAGATGGATATGGATGATGGAGCCATGGCCACTGCTGTTGCTACATCTTTTGGAACTAGGTAAGAGAATATTGTTTTATAATGGTCGGATAATCGGATACTTCGCCGGGTAATTCGATCACTATCATGAAATGTGCTTTTGTATCGAAAGAAATCCCGCGACGATGGGATTGGTGAAATTATTATTTTTTTATTTATTCCAATCAGGCAAGTATGACCCATATAATACATACCTTAAAGACATACATACATCTGTTATATAACCAGAATTAGAGAAGAAATGCCATTCAATTTCTTTGAAAACTATACTGCCGCATCATTACGGCAGCACTCTCCGATTGGCCAGCTCGAATTCGAAACAATTAACCGATGTCGTCAATTGTTTCACTTCAATTCGACCAGTTTAACTTGAGCTTTGCTTGATGGACGAAAATGAAAAAAGTACTTGTTTTATATTTAATTAGCCATGAAATGTGATTCCGTTTTCCGTTTTGTAATTAGATGTTTTGTTAATTTTTTTGAACAGCCCCCTATAGTTAAAGATACTTATCTTTATTACAATAAATACAGAATAGGAGTCCATGTCCAAAATAGACCCAAAAAGTCAAAATCTGATGAGGGGATCTCATGTAAATCGAAAAAAGCCGATAAGGAAACTATCTATTTTGTCAGTGTACCCAAAATGTTACATTTCGAATTTCGTATTTTTTTATTATTAGGGCTTCAAAATGTTTATAAAAAAGCAAGTCTGGTAGATGTACGAATTGTTATCGTATAATCATTTTAGGATTTTACTAGGAAATAACTATTTTGATGGGATACTGCGCGCACAGTACTGGCACCCCAATTAAGACAGCAAAATTCGCTCACCGGATAGTACGTGCTAAGGGAAAGCGACAAAGGGCGGAAGTAAAGATATCCGTTTTTCCTTGTCACTGTGTCACAATGCGACCTCTTTCATAGTCATCCCACCTTTTTATCACCCCTTTTCTCTGGTTCCTGGCCACATACATTGAAATTTTGAATTGTTCTTATATTCCTTTCTTCTTCGTCACTAATTTTTCTTCTTTCCATCTCCAGCTTTAGTGCAGTAAAATTCCTTGTGAAAGAGTTTGTCCAGGGAAGTACTGTCACCTATTTTTGCCCCAATAATAATGTTAGCATTAATGTAATAAAAAATAAATAAAAATAAAATGTTTATTTCAGTAATACCATTAACTTTGAATTAACAGTGGATGGTACCTCCTATTAAGCTTATCAAGCCTGTGTCAGGAGGCACCATAGATATAGAAAAAAAGGGGAGATATGTAATGACGCTAAGTAAGATCGGGCACCGATGTCGCCACTTTTTAGCTTGTGTGCAATTCAAACTTTACGCTCTATTATCTACTACCATAACTTAAAGATTTTGATTGGGTAGGGCTTAAAACGTGAAAACAACGTAACAAAATTTTAAAATTTAACAAATATAAATTTACAGTCACTTGAGTAAGAGTCATATTACAATATTTCAGTATTTTTTTCATCCTGGTTCAGCCAGTCACCATCAGGTGGCGTTTTAGTAAAAATGCTACTAGTATATAATAGCTAACTATTACACGTTAGATGGCGCTGAAACTCATTTTTTGTTACACTAAGTACTCACGGAGCGGTTTCCACCCAAGCTTGCCGCGGGACCGTGGCATCTGTAGAATATGAGAGTTAAGTATGTAAAATTAGTAGAACATTTCACGCAGCGTTTTACGCCTGTAAAGGTGACGGTTGCTCGCGGCTGCCGCGGCGGGGTACTAGTAGAACCGCGCAGGACGCGATCACCTGCGCGCTTGGCGGCTGTCGTCGCCCGTGCACTTTGGCGGTTGGTTCAGGCGCACTCGGGATGAGTTCTCTATTAACCGCGCGACTTGCGATTAACTCCCTGTAACTTTGCGGTCCGTTCCACAATCGCAACGGTTTCGTGCCCGCAACCGCGGCGGCTACGTGCCCGCACAAACTTGCAGGGTCGTGAGTATTGAAATAAAACCGCTGTCCTGCAGCACTGGCGGGCGCGGATGGAAACCGCTTCGTGAATTGTTATACGTTACCACGGGTCGGTCAAGCTGTCACTGTGAAGCGTAAACTCCTCAGACCATCAACAAATTTAATAAATTAAATTATGTTGTTTTTTTATGAAGGATTAATGTAATTTTCTATAATTGTTTCTAATTTATTTCGCATGCACATGTAAAATAAAGCCGATTTTATTTTATTTATTTTTTAAATGCTTTTGCTATGGAAATTTAAACTAAGTCAGAAATAGTAATAAGAAAACCAATATTTCAATTTTCCTGCAGCTTCAATTCAACCTTCTCTTATTTTGAACTCATTGGAAAAACTCAAAAATTAAAAAACTCTACGTTTAATCTACGAATATAATGGAATTTAAATATCTAAATTATCTAAAACAATAATATACATACATTTTTCTTCAAGCAACAGCAACATACAAATTGACATGAAATTGAAACGGTTGTCCGAAATATGTGTTGTGTTAAAGTTACTCGAAATAAAATGTTTAGTAATAATAATAATAAAATAAAGGAAATCAATTTAACCTGAATGCTTTTCGCTTCGATATTTTAGGGACTTTAATTACAAAAATCATAGTAGGAAATTCAAACATTTCAGTAAAAATTTATTGTCGATAAACATCAGTCATCGTAAACGAACATCACTATATTTGAGTCTAGAAATTTCTATGGAGACAAAAAGAAAACGTTGAATAATAATAGAAATAGTAACTAAAAATGCAGATAGCCGGTGGAATGTTATCTCACTGGTTTTAACATTTTTGTTTTCACTCAATTTTTTACAAGGTGTATTGCTACAACTTGGCATTTTCACGTTTTACGAGAGATCTTGTATGAACAACGATCGCCATGTCACTGTGGCGATGTTTGTGATCTACAGGAGGCACCGCTCTTCCATAGCTATAAATGCATATTTAACATTTTTAACTTATACTTAATTTGTTGAGCTTAAACAGTTGAGCTTTGCTATAATGGACAATAATTGAAAAATTACATAGTTTAATATTTAATTACTGATTAAATGTTATGACGTTTGTTTTGCAATTAGACGTTTTGCTGTTTTTCCCACACCACCGAATGGAACAGCCCCCCATTGCATTGTTAGAGATATAATCTTTATTAAGTACAATAAATACACAATATTTTTGGAATATACGGAGACATACACACAGGTCAGTTGTTGGCTGATAAGTTGCCAGGGATATCCATCCTATATTTCGAATCTATTTCTGGTTATATACTTACTCGATTACCGCCAGCCACTCTCTTAAATAAAATGTAAGAGAGTGGGTGGCGGTAAATTTTAAATTATACAGAACAAATCAGTGTTAAAAATACCGGTGCATACACAAGAGCAACTGCCTCTATGGCCGAACGGTTGCCGTGCTGAACTGCTATATCGTATGGCTCCGTGTTCAATTCTCGGCCCGGGAGAAATATTTATATGTCCCGTGAGTTTTCGCGTAGTTTGTGGTTGTCTATATGTGTCTATGGCACCCGCGATACATGGTTTCCCTAGGGGCTATGAGTGTGTGCGTTGTAAAAAAAGATAGATTTCCTTTTTTATTCATTTTCTATGTATTATACAATTTTTTAATGATACTAACAAGTCGTGCACCTGGTGGTAAGCGACACGCCTGTCCATAACAGTTGCAGTGCCATTCAGAGTTTTAAATCGTAACGATCTGAGGGGCACTGCCACTGCTTACTTTGTACCTTATTGCTACCGCTTGTTTTTTTCATAATATCAAGTGACGGGACGAACAAGTCGTGCGCCTGATAGGAAGCTACACGCCTGACCATAATAGTTACAGTGCCACTCAGAGCTTTGATTCGCAAAAATGTGAGGAGCACTGCCATTGCGCCCATCACACTGAGGCGTAAGTTGACAAGTCTCATGTGCCAGTAATTTCACCACACCCTAACCTTTCAAAACCGGAACGCAGTAATGTTCACATTACTGCTTGGCGGTAGCAATAGGCAAAGTGGCAGTACTTCCCTAAACGAACTCTTTCTAAAGGAGCTCTACTGCTAGTACCTAACCTTCGACTGCACGATGTTTTCTTTCCAGAGTTAACGAGATGTGTTCCTGCTTAACGTTCTCAAATGTATACCTACAACTTAGACATTAATAAGTATTATAGGTACTTGTCGCCACAGGATTCAAACAGTCGACCTCTCAAACGAGAAGCCTGGCATTTAGAGTCTATACAACCTCAATTCGAAACCATGATACCTAAAAATTTTAACGATAGAAAAATAACACAAACTTATAGGAAATTAAACTGTTTTTCCAGATTTAAATCGCGTATATTTGTTTTTTCAAAAAACCCAAACTTACCTCGAAATTTTACAAGATAACCGCTGCATTCAATAAGTACTTTATATATACCAATGATTTTTTTAATATCAACTGAATTAAATAGAACATCTATAGTGTACGATACACATTTTTGAAATCGCTATAATTTCGCTTGTAAAACAATAAACTTGCTCTACCCAAGGAAAATGAACCGTGTCAATACGGGAAAAATTTGAATTCGAACTGAGGTAGTATCAACTCTTAAATAAAGGAAGTAATGTAGTAAATATAGTAGCGAAAAACCGGAGAATGGTTGACACGCCTTTCTTTCTTCCGAGAGTCGAAATGCTCATTACAGTATACAATAATGAGCAGTTCGTAAATATGACAACTTAAACAACATTAGTAGTCATGTCCGCGCTTGGGCCAAGGTATAATCAAGGACATTCGGCGATCGAATTCAAACACGCACTACGCTGGACATGTTAATGATGCCTTTTTAGGGCATTTGGCATCTTTGGAATTTTAATTCTTACACGTCTCATTGTTGGACATCTAAAATTTAGGCCATGGAATGCTGTAGTCTTGTTTAATCAGCAATTTAGTCTTCAAATTGAATATATGCAATAAAGGGTCTAGAGGTTTCATTTTGATGTGTAAAAAAACGAATATTTTTAAGCGAAATCATGGGATGTTTATTTCATTGTAAAGAGGGTATGCCATTAATAATGGAAAACAATATCAGTTAATGGCCGCCACGGTTGCGCTTATAGGACCATATTCTTTTCATGAAATTGTCCATCACCAATTCGCACATTTGTGAATGTATGTCCTTGATAACTTCACGAATTCCATCTTTGAGGTCTTGATTCGATTGTGGGTCATTGGCATAGACCTTATCTTTCACGTAGCCCCAAAAAAATGATTAATGATTTTGTATGGCGGATATTGGAAGATATTGATGTGGACGACGTTAATTTGCAACAAGACGGCGCTACGTGCCACATAAGTAACGATACCATCGCTCTTTTGCGTGAAAAGTTTCCTGATCGTGTGATTTCTCAAAAAGGCGATCACAATTGGCCACTTAGATATTGTGATTTAACACCTTTAGACTTTTTTCTTTGGGGCTACGTGAAAGATAAGGTCTATGCCAATGGCTCACAATCGATCCAAGACCTCAAAGATGGAATTTATGAAGTTATTGAGGACATTCAGCAGCAAATGTGCGAATTGATGATGGAAAATTTCATGAAAAGAATATGGTTCTGCAAGCGCAGC